ACTATGACTGCTATAAAATTTTAAAAAGAACAAATCAGGTGATATTTCCAGCTGCATTAAGGCCATCTCAGTCAATGCATATTAACTTAGTACATCCTTAATACACATTTAGTTCCATCAATTTGATATTAATATATATCAGCTACTACAGTAACCATATCTACAACACACAAGCATCTATTGAATGCATCAGATAGTTTACACCTACTTGAGTTAACTGAATCCCATTTTATTAGGAGAAGTAGATGTGAAGGGTCCCTACTGCCATTCGGAAGGAAAACACACCTGGATCAATTTGATTAGCTTTCCCATAAATACAGCTGCAAACACCTTTAGACATCAAAATATAATTGCATGCTTCATAAATGAGTGAGGAATGACAACATTGTGGTTCATCCATAAAGCTACTTAGGTATAGGTCTATAATAGGAACGCTTTCAACTACTTGAAAAAAAAATTAAAAATCCAAGTTTTTTCTTGTAGCCATTAAATTTCAATAAGAAATTTGCTTTAGATTATAAACAGATGCTGAGATCTACCTGATGAAAGTAGACATTTTGGTAGCCTTCTTTGTGTTATAAAAATGACCCTCTCAAATGGCTATTTAGGATTGCATGCATTCAGTATTTTTTTTTGACATTTTATCGCAGCAATAAAGGAGAAATGTGTATCTGTAGTCTCAGTAGGCTACTAAAATCAGCCAACGGTTTTACTGCTGGAAGTAACTGCTTACCAAACTCATCAGAAGAATTTGGAGATGTAGGAACACTGCAATTCCCCCTCCCCCCACCCCAAAACCAAAAAGGCTTTTATTGAGTTTTACCTAATTTACCATTCCATTAAGAGAATAGTGTGAATAAAAGCACATTATATTATAAAATTTAGAATTTGTTATTCTCTTAATTAACATGATTTTTATGACAATAGCAAGCTGATCAAATAAACATCGTGTTTTAAGGATGGATTCTGCTTAAGCAAAATTTATTAAATTTAATTTTCTTTCTTATTTTATCTGTACAAGTGTATTGTTACTACACATGTAAGATTCTATAGTTCTATATACCTTATATCTCATTCATTATGTCATGTACAGATGGCATTAAATGGCAAGGATTTGTGCAGATTAGATGGCAAAATCCTCAGGGAAGAATTCATATGCTCTATACTTACGATCACAGATCTCAGGTATGCAGTTATATAGCTGTTCTATTGCCCATGATATGTTGTATGGATGTTGTCACATCTCAGACACCAACACATAGCTATGCTGCCACCACAGAAATATGGAGAATAGCTATATCTATATATCCATTAGGGCAGTGCGAAAATTTCGCCGGGTGTTTCATTTTGAAGCTGTTTCACTGCGTTTCAAGCTCAAAACAGTGAAATCAAAGTGAAACAAAAGCCTTTGAAACAGCTTTGAAATGAAACAAGGGCACTCAAAACATTTCAAAAGTTTCAAAACGTTTTGAGTTTTGAAGCTGGGCTTGTCTTCAGCACCCATCCCAGCCGGCAGCAGCAGTCTCTGTCATCCAGTGCAGATCTGGGGGCTGTAAACCCAAGGAGGATTCTGGCACAGCCTCCAGCCCTCCCGGGGGTGCGAGCCCCCAGATGTGCACCCTGGATGCCAGCATGCTGTTGCTGCCAGTTGGGACCAGCGGTAGCACCAATTTTCCTGGTGCTGGGTGTGCGCTGCACCCAACGCCAGTCCTAGCTGGCAGCAGCAGCCTCCTGTGATCTGGCAGGCTGATTGGATGTCCGCTTGCACCCCCGGGAGGAGTCTGGCAGAGCCCTGCAGTCCTCCCAGGGGTGTGAGCAGGCCCCTGATCTGCCTGCCACATGACAGGACACTGCTGCTGTCAGCTGCGGCCAGTGACAGCACCCATCTTCCCAGTACTGGGTGTGGGTTCTGCCCAGTGCCGGTCCCAACCAGCATCAGCAGCCTCTTGTCATCTGGCAGACAGATCAGGGGCCCTCCTGCACCCCTGGGAGGGCTGTGGGTCTTTGCCAGACTCCTTCCAGAGGTGCGGGGGGCCTCCTGTCTGCCTGCCAAATCACAGGAGGCTGCTTCTGCTGCCTGGAGACAGCAGTGCACCCAGCACCAGGAATATTGGTGCTGCCACTGGCCCCAGGCAGCAGGAGCAGCCTCCTGTGATTTGGCAGGCAGATTGGGGGGCTGCACCCCCAGGAGGAGTCTGGCACAGCCCCCAAAGTCCTTCTGGGGGAGCGGGCCCCCAATCTGCCTGCCAAATCACAGGAGGCTGCTCCTGCCACCTGGAACTGGCACTGGGCACAGCCTGCACCCAGTGCTAGGAAGACTGATGCTACCACTGGCCCCAGCTGGCAGCAGCATCCTCCTGTCATCCAGCAGACAGATTGGGAGCCCACCCACACCCCTGGAATGGCTGCAGGAGCTGTGCCGAACTCCTCCCAGGGGTGTGGGCTCCCAATCTGCCTGCCAGATAACAGGAGGTTGCTCCTGCTGCCTGGGACTGGCAGCAGCACCAATCTTCCTGGTGCTGGGTGCAGGCTTTACCCAGAGCCGGCCTCAGGTGGCAGCAGCAGTCTCCTGTCATCTGGAAGGCATATCTATATATCTAAAGGTTACTAGGGGGCATGTTTTCAAGACAAAAAGGAGTAATTTAGAAATTGTAAGTAGGATTAACTGTGCAGAAAAATAAGAAATACAATCTATGGAAATGTAGACCTTTAAGAGATTTTGCCATGAGTTAATTGGACCAAGTTTCCTTATACAGAGACTCATGTTGCATGAGCTTAATCTCAGTTGGAAAGTACTACGATACTGTGGACATGAATCCAAAAACACTCCAGTAAAAGACACCAGAAGCAGAAAGACATGTGGATTTCAAAGCTGGAATTCACAAAAATAGCATGTGGAGTTGCACATGCTGTGCAACTGTAAGGAGCCAAAACAAAGCTCAGTATTTGAAAAAAGATGCAAGAACTTCAGTGGACTTTGCAGGTTGCAGCAAAATATACACAGCATGGGCAAGAAGCATGAGAGGAGCAACACTAGTTCAGAGGAAATTCTTCATCAGAGCAGTGGACATTATAAATAGCTGACTCTTAGCCTAGTGGACTCTTAGCCTAAAAGAATGTGGAGCTTTTAATATTTTTAATTAGGTGCACAAGGCAACAAGATTGCAAGAACAGTGGAAAGAGACTGTATCTGAAGTAGAAAGTAAATGAATGCAAGTCAGGGCTTACACTAGTGGCCTTATATTCAGTAAGGATGTACTGGAGTCAATTATCTGGGGAACAAACAAACTGGAAAAGATTCAACTTAGAATAATACCTGGGGTAAAAATAACCAATATAGAGTTAAAGACATGTCAAACCTTTTATTTCTTCAAGAGGGTTCACTCTTCGGATGAGTCAAGTACCAGGAAAACCAAGGAGGATGTTGAAAAGCTCTATGAGAGGATATAAAGTTCTTAAAGGAGAACAGTGTAAAGCTGAAAGAGGCCAGTCATTCCAGTAGATACAACCCTAGGAAAGTTCCTTTAAGGCAGGCATTAAAGAAGAGCTGGACGTGCTAATTGGTCCAAGCATCAGAGTGTGTAGAAAAAATGGAGTAGGTGCTCTCATTGGTCATAGCAAGGGAAAATAGCAGAATGGAACACTTGGCTAAAAACATTAACAAATATTTTAAATGGGAAACTATAATGGGGTAAATTATGATAGTTTATGTAAAATAATTTTCCATGTTTGATGCTTTGGATAAATTGTGGAAGGTGTCCTTAAAAAAGAGCCTATATTTATGCACATTAATCACAATGAGGGAGATATTGCATATGGTATACCTATACTACAGATTACAGGGTAGAGAATAAACAAGAGGGACATAAATAAGAAAGATCAGAAGCAGTTTCACCAAAATATCACAAAAATTGGAAAGAATGTATTTGCCGTACTGAGAATCAGGGTAAATAAGCCTGTCCATGCAGTCTCCCAGCAGTTCCATAGTGCCATGGCTGGAATGTTTCCTGTACCCTGAGCTAACTTGCCTGAAGCTGTCTTGGATATTTTTATGCTAAACTGAAGATTGCAGTTTGTACATACCCATTATTTTTGCAGACTCTTTTTTGGAATCGTCGGTGTGTCACTGAAAAATACAACCAATTTTGAGTATAGTGTGTATTAAGTTCTACCTAGATAACATTCTGACCAGAGGAAAAAAGGGAAAGAATATGATGAGCAGCTTTTATCAGCTTTGAAAAGAATCATAGCTACTAGACTAACACTAAACAAAAAAATATAAGTTTTCTGTACTTGGAGAGAAGTTAAGACAGCAAGGTGTACAGGTAGATCACAGTAAGGTTGAGTCTATTATTATCAGAATGCCTGTCTCAAAACTCAATAAATAGGTACAAAGAACCTTGAAACTTTGAACTGGGTAGAGAAATTTATATCTGATCTGGCTGCCTGATCAAATAATCTGAGAACTTTGTTTTACAAAGTTCTGCAATGGAAGTGGGATAACAGCCATATTGAGGAATCATAAGATACAGATCCTTATCCTTATCAAGTGCCAAATTCTTAGGAACTAGGACAGAAAATACAAACCTGTTATCCATGAATGTGTTGGTGCAGCATATTCAAAGCTGGAGACTAGCAGCTTTTGCATCACAGCTACCATCAAAAACTGAAAGTCAAAAGCTATAGTTCAGAAGTAAAAAATAAAGTTTCATGTCCCTATTTTAGTAGACCAATGTTAGGTGAAACTGACCATGACGCATATATTGCCCTTGTCAAAAGGGATTTGGCAAACCCACTTTCAAGAATAGAACCTTGTTGTTGTTACACATGTATGATTTGCACTTTAATTACAAACCTGAGAGAGATTTAGGGTGGAATTCCATTATCCTTTTTGTCCCTAAATGGCACTTTTCAAGCTGTGCAAGTGGCCTTTTTGGCATTTACACACAGTTTGCAATCTTATTGCCCAAGCAGTGTGGTTGTGCAATGTCCACGTAGCTACTGCATATGGTCATTGGGCTATGCACCGGCCAGGCACTTACAAGGCTACGTAGATTCATCCCTGAATGTAAGCCCTAGAAAAATCAAGGAGAAATAAGTTATAGCATGCATCAGAATACTCTAACCACCATACCATACATTAGACATTATCCACTCTCTTTTCAAGATCTTCTTTAAAACTAAGATACTGCATTTTGCATTTAATTGTCAAATGGATAGAAAGTAGTGTGGAGGTTTCTTCCATGCAGGGAGAAAGCATCTGGGCTAGAACCTAGGCCCTCTCTCTATCAAGGTAATGGTAGTAGTCCCTCACAAGCAAGGATGATCATGCCCACGGGTCAAGTAAAGGGTGGCGATGAGTCCATTGATGGTTAAGAAAGCCAATCTTAGAGCTGCAGACTGTTAAGCCAGTTTCATAGTAGCTAGGGTCAGGAGGGACCTGAACAGATCATCTAGCCTGACCCCCTGCCACAGGCAGGAATGAATGCTGGGTTCACCAGACCCCAGACAGCTGATTGTCCAACCTCCTCTTGAATATGCCCAAGGTAGGGGCGAGGACCACTTCCCTGGGAAGTGCCACAGGTGCTTATTAAAGGGAGGGTTGGACCATGAATTTCTCTATCTTGTTTCCTTTTCTTTCATTTCTGTCATTTTTCTACCTCCAGGATGAGATGTTTTTCCTCAGAGTAAGATGTACCTTGTCTCACAAGGCATTTCTACATAGCCCTCTCTCAGGCTAGATTTCCCAATTTGTGGTATCAATGCCACACTTCTTAATGTTTGCCTTGAGTATGTCCTTGAAGCATTTCCTTCAGCCCCTCCATGTCCTTTGTCCTTGGCTGAGTTGGAAATGCAGTAGTTGTTTTGGTAAACATACATCAGGCTCACACACACAGTGCCCTGTCCACCACAGATGACATTGATTATTCAGTGCTTCCATACTGGTGGTGTTAGCATCAGTGAGGACACTGGCATTTGTGTGATGATCCTCCCACTTTATGCCAGGCATCTTCTGGATATAGTGCTGGTGATGGCGTTCCAGGCTTTCAGGTGCTCCCTGTAGGTCATCCATCCTTCACAGCCATAGAGAAGAGCTGGGATTACCACAGCCTTTTATAATAGAAGCTTTGTTCAACTACTTTGTCATGATCATTGGACACATGATGATTCAGTCTTCTGAAGGCAGACCTGGCACATCAGATTCTTCAAGAGAGAGCTGCCAGGGTATGCAAAGTGTTCAACATTCTCCACCAATGAGGTTCTTTCCCAGGCTGGTAAAGCACTTTGTTTTTCTGAAGTTAAGGGTCAGTCCCAGGTACTGGTATGCTTCAGAGAAACAGTTAAGGGTTGTTTGTAGGTGTTCCCCAGTATGTGCAATGATAGCACAGTCATGGCCGAAGTAACTGAAGTTGTACTGAAGGTCTGTAATCAAGGCCGAAGTAACTTTGGTTTTGGCACAGAGGCGGTAGAGATTGAAAAGGTTTCCATCCATCCTGTACTCAATACTTATGCCATGTGGCAGATGATCATGGATGAGCATCTTGATGACTGCAAGAAAGATAGAAAACAGAACTGGTGTCATCATGCAGTCCAGCTTGATGACAATTCGAATGGCAAAGGGCTCCATAGTGGAGCCACTGATGATGAAACAAGTGTTGCCACACTCATATGTTGGAAGCCTGAGGATCAGAAAGCAAGCAACAGGTAGAAAGGTCCATGTCAATAAGACCTTGGGTGCTGTAAGGAGGGCTGTAAGGGCATTCATAGATGATGTGGTCAGCCATCTGAGCTTGAGCACCACAACTGCGGCCAGCATCATTGCAAAGGCCCCAAGACTGCATGCTTGCCTTAACTCATCCAACACCCATTCTGGAATGGTTAAGAACAATCCGGCCCTGCAGGGCAATTGCCATCCTGAGAGGTGGAAGCTAGTGTGGGGGATGAAGTTCTTTAGCAGCAGTTCTTGTGCAGCATATTTCCTGCTCCAATGATGGGAGGTTCCACGCTATAGGTGACATGCAATCTGCAGATTTGATGAGCTTATTGGTTTGGCTACAGAATGGATTCTGAGACTTCAGGTGGTAGTTGGTTGCCTGGCTTACAGCTACTTGGCTGGACTGCAAAACGTTCTGCATCTTAGTCTTTGAGGCCTAGGGCTAGGGTAGAAGCTTGTCTCCAAATCTCAGCAGAGCCACTAAATAGAATGGAGGAAGTCATCTGCCCATGAAGGAGTTTTAGGATGGTGATAAATTTTCCTGGGCAGTCAAACTTTGATAAGATCTTCCATACAGCCTCAAAGTTAACAGAGTTGAAGGCTGTGGTCAAATCAGTAAAAGCCATATACAGTTCCTTGTGTTGTTCTTGGCATTTTTCCTGGATTTGCTAGACCACAAAAATCACATCCATGGGTGCCTCTCAATGGTCTATCAAGGCAACAGCTACCTCACTAAACTACACATGGCTCAGTGTGTTTTCTTCCTCCTGAACCCCAAAAAATCCTGATCATAGCTGGCAGGGTGGGGCAGAGAGGACACAGGGGAAGGGACATCTTCAGAAGGAGAGCTATAGAGGAGCCTAATCTCTGGTATGGTCACACCATTCTGGGCAAAGAGATAAAGTTCAAATCCCATCCGAGTGAGGAAGGTCTACAACCTCCATCTCCTACTTTATGGGCAAGTTCTGTAACCACTTAGATATTGGCTCTAAAACCTTGGAGGACCTTCTCCTCCTATTATGACATGGGATTTTTTTCTGGTTACAGTTTTATGACTTGCAGATATACATTGTATGCAATCCAATAGCTATGCCTCTGCTCAGACAGTGGCATAGCCTACTGACCATGCCGCTCAGTATCTATATGAATGCTTACGTGTATATATTACATAAGTAATAGAATATGTGCATAAGTGCTTAAAAGGCTATTTATGCAGCTAGACAATTGTCATTTAAACACACAAAGGACAACAGAACTCTGCTCTCATTCACAGACATACTCAAGCAGTTGACAAAACTGTAGTGGAGCAAAGTGCATAATGTACATAGTTATATATATAACTCTGATTAAAAAGAAAAACAAAAAGAAACACAACCTGTCTAGTCTCAAATTAAATGTGGATAGCAATTATCTGAGCTACTACTGTGGATGAAATGCTGAAAACAGTAATTAAAATTATTAAAACCAAATTAAACCTTGGTCACTCTTGGGTGACCAAGTATGATTGTACTAAGCCCCTATGAACAGTTTAATAAGGAAAGCTCAGTACTAAAATAAATTTTGCTCCAAGTCACTAGATCAAAAATTATTAAGATGTTACTTAAAATAGCGTATATGAAAATTATTTATGAATGAAAAAATCTAAGGGAAGGGTCAGATATATTAGGTGGCTCAAATGGACACTAGGGCTGTGCAAAGCTTTGGTACCCGATTCAATTTGGTGGCGATTCAGCCCGATTCACTGGCCAAATCTTTGAATCCAAATTGAATCAGAGGACCTGTTAATCTCTCTGAATCAACTGGGAACACTCCAAATCGATTCGGAGAGATTAAAAAAGATTCAGCGATTCGGACATAGATAGCTTTAAAAGTTTTTTCTATATACCTCTAGGTATCAGGGGCTCATGAGTGCTGGGGTGCATGGAGTGTCCCACAGGAGCATGGGGGACTCTTCAGCATGCTTGGCAGCAGACCCAGAAGTGGACCACAAGCACTTCCGTTCTATTTCTGGGTCCACCGGGGAGCACACAGGGCCCACCCCCATCCTCTGGTTCAGCAACTGGTGCCTCCTGGGTCTCAGAGGGGGCACACATGGGCTCCCCCCATACTCTTGTGGGATGCTTCATCCACCCCACCATTGCAACATTCATGAGTCATGCTGGTACCTCGAAGTACGTAGAAAAAACATTTAAATCTGTGTCTATGTCCAAATCGCTGATTCTCCATATCAGCATCAAATCTTCAGATTCAGATTCAGCTGAATCAAATCAGGGACAGGGATCTGAGTCAATTAATCGAATCACTGTCCCTGATTCGGGCCCAATCTGAATCCAAATCAAATAGGGCCCGCTTTGCACACGCCTAATGGACACTAACTTTAAGAAGATGTCTGAAGTTTGCAACATGTACTGTACAGGCCAATACAAACCAAAGGGTCAATACTGATGTCCCACACAAAATAAACACTATGTACTTGTATTAAAATATTATTTTCACTTCCTTGAGATAGTTTTGCAGCAAGATAGTACCATTAGGAAACTTATGTATATAAAATCTTTTTTTTTGCTAGTTTTGACAGAAATAATGTTAGGCACAGTTTAAACAGCATGAATTTCAACAGTCTGAAGTAAAGTGTAAGTTTAGATATATCACTTTGCGTGCCCCTTATCCTTAACCCCAACCCCTGTGTTGGTAGTAAAGGGTGCCAAAATAATAAAATGCCAGTTACAGAGGCCTGTTGAGTCAGACTCTGATCCATATTAATCACTTTGCAATTACCAAAGAACACCATAAGAATTGTCATCAGTGACCATTTTGTTTAACAGAAAACTGAAAGAAAGAATGTCTGCTCTGTTAGAACCTGATATCAGAGTGATTTCATAGACATTCGGGATGAAAGGGACCTTGGAAGATCTTTGAGTCCAGCCCCCTGCCCCAGGGGCAGGAAGACAGCAGGAGTCATAGGATCCCAGCAAGATAAACATCCAAATTTCTCTTGAAGGCGTTCAAAGTAGGAGCTTGAACCACCTCTGATAGCAGTCTATTCCAGACCTTGGGGGCTTGGACAGTAAAAAAGTTCTTCCTTATGTCCAGCCTGAAATAGTCACAGCAGAGTTTGTGATCATTCAACTTTGTCATCCCTTGGGGTGCTCTGGTGAACAGACTTTCTCCAGGATCCTGATGCACACCCCTAATAAACTTATAGGCAGCCACCAGATCACCCCTGAACCTGCACTTTTCCAGGCTGAAGAGTCCCATAGCTCTCAGCTTATCATCATAAGGCCTGTTTTCCTGACCTCTGATTATGCACATGGCTCTCCTCTGCACCCTCTCAAGCTTCTCCACATCCTTTTTGAATTG